CACACACCCGCACCCGCACCCACAGTGTGAAACCAGGCTGAGCTGAAAGGCCTGCCCTGGCAAGCAAGTCCTTTTGGTGGGAAGAGGGGGGTAAAAGGCTTCGGGTTCAGGGCATTGGGTGTAAAACTCGAAGTTTTGGCTTTTCGGGATTACAACTGAAGAGATGGGTGCTTCTCCTCAGAAAGGCCCAATCCTTAAGCCTGAGTTCCGATGCGACTGGCTGGGGCCCCTCAGCTAGGGGTTGTGGCTCCTCGTAGCCTTTCAATTTAAACTTTTAATGCCTTTAAGGTCTGAGACCCTCAGCCGCAACTAAGAAACCCCCCAAACCCAAACCGCTAAACCCCCAAATCCCCCTAACACAAACCCTAAACCCTAAACCCTAAACCCTAAACCCTAAACCCTAAACCCTAAACCCCTAGCACCCTATGAGGATGGCTTCCGGGCTTTGATTCCTCTGATACTGCCTGCGGTACCTCGGCGGATCGGGTGTACCTGACCCTACATATACTTCCAGGGACCTAGTGGTTTAGGGTTTAGGGTTTAGGGTTAGGGTTTAGGGTTTAGGGTTTAGGGTTTAGGGTTTAGGGTTTAGGGTTTAGGGTTTAGGGTTTAGGGCTTTCTGGAAGACTTAAGGACACCACATGCAGGTCCCTGGAAGGTACAGGGTGAGGGTTTGACGGGCAATTCTGTGTTGGTGCTGTTCATGCGGGATCATGCGCGCAATTCAATAAGGGTCTCCAAGAGCACCCTGAACCCTAAACCCAAAACCCAAAACCCTAAACCCTAAACCCCAGTATTAGGGTAGAGTGATCTGGTTTTTTGTTGGGGTTTTCCGGCATGCAACTAGGCCGGCGAGCGTCAAGTGTTGGTGCTGATTTGAAGAGCTTCGTTCAGTTGTTGTTTGCTCGTCGCGTGCTGCATGGTTCTGTAGGGTTTAGGGTTTAGGGTTTAGGGTTTAGGGTTTAGAGTTTAGGGTTTAGGGTTTAGGGTTTAGGGTTTAGGGCCGTGGGAGCTTTGGATCAACCATGTGAACAAGTGTTGGTGCTGTAAGGGGGGGTCGCTGGCATCCAGCTAACTTGCATGCAAAGGATAAACGTCGCAACCAGAGTTTTCACTGATTTTTTGGAAAGTGAATCCTGCAAACTCTTCCGATACAATGCCTGTGGAGAACCTTGCGCTGTGACACACGAAAACGCGGTAAGTTGCTGAATAAATCCGAGAGAAATTTCAACCATTACTTCGGCGTAAACCTGAAATCCTAAAGCCCTGATTAAGTCTTTTGGTGTCAGGTGTCGGTCAGATGTGCGCCGAAGTGAATGGTGCGAACCGCTGCAAATGCATGATGGGCGACTTGCCAGCATGGTCATGGAACCTCGTTGCCGAACCCCAAACCCTCAGCTCTCAACCCCAAACCCCAGACCCGTGAACGCTAAACCCTAAATACAAGAAAACGGACTTTGAATAGGTCTCTAGCATTGGGGCGCCAGGCTTGAAATAAGTGAGGCGCTCGAGACTTTCCGTCGATTCCAGCAGTGATACCGAAGAGCCCCACACAAAATATACCAAGGAAATCCATCTTGATACCCCTAAAGCCTAGCCCTAAACCCTAAACCCTAAACCCTAAACCCTAAACCCTAAACCCTAAACCCTAAACCCTAAACCCTAAACCCTAAACCCTAAACCCTAAACCCTAAACCCTAAACCCTAAACCCTAAACCCTAAACCCTAAACCCTAAACCCTAAACCCTAAACCCTAAACCCTAAACCCTAAACCCTAAACCCTAAACCCTAAACCCTAAACCCTAAACCCTAAACCCTAAACCCTAAACCCTAAACCCTAAACCCTAAACCCTAAACCCTAAACCCTAAACCCTAAACCCTAAACCCTAAACCCTAAACCCTAAACCCTAAACCCTAAACCCTAAACCCTAAACCCTAAACCCTAAACCCTAAACCCTAAACCCTAAACCCTAAACCCTAAACCCTAAACCCTAAACCCTAAACCCTAAACCCTAAACCCTAAACCCTAAACCCTAAACCCAAACCCTAGCCCTAAACTTCAAACCCTCAACCCCCAAAAAACTCGTAAGAACTTAGAGAGCCTGACATCCTCTAAGCCCCAAGCACTACGCACCCCAGCAAACCCTAGAACCCCAAAACCCTAGAAGCCTAAACCCCAAACCCTAGAATCCTAACCCTAAACCCCTGAACCCTAAACCCTAAAACCCTAAACCCTAGCCCTAAACCCTAAACCCTAAACCCTAGAATCCTCAGCACCCCAAAGACGATGGCAGGCAAGTGCGACTCCTCTGGCACCTGCGGGTTCTGATCGCAAGAAGGATGCCCGGAGGCCTGTTTGGGCTTCCTGGGTTTAGGGTTTAGGGTTTAGGGTTTAGGGTTTAGGGTTTAGGGTTTAGGGCGTAGGGTGTTTAGGGTTTAGGGTTTATAGGGTTTAGGTTTAGGGTTCATAGGGTTTACAGGGTTCATAGGGTTTACAGGGTTTATAGGGTTTGTAGGGTTTATGGGGTTTATAGGGTTTACAGGATTTGTAGGGTGTATGGGCTTTAGTTATGCGGTTTTAAGTGTTCGGGGTTTAGGGGGTTGCGGGGGTTTAGTGGTTTTCTGGCTTTTGCTGGTTCAGGGTGCTCGTGGCAGGGCAAGAGATCCAGGATCCAGGGCGGAAAACGTCGGGCGCGGGGATGGGGTGGTTAGCAGGACCTGAGAACCGAACACCCTAAACCCTAACCCTAAACCCTAAACCCTAAGCCCTAAGCCCTAAACCCTAAACCCTAAGCCCTAAACCCTAAACCCTAAACCCTAAACCCTAAACCCTAAACCCTAAACCCTAAACCCTAAACCCTAAACCCAGACCCTCAGCTCGACCGGTGGGGGTTGATCTACATGGTGGGCATGTGGGTACCCTAAACTTCAGGGACTCTTTATTGAAAATTGTAGATCAACCCCCCCCCCCCCCCCAAGGTTTTCTGGAAATGTCTGCTTTCGCTTCCAGAAATCTTAAGGGGGATATTCAAAACGTTGTTATGATTGTTCTAGGGGGAGTGCCGTATCTATCAGGCAGCAACGGATAGCTTCCAAGGTTGTGGGGATTCAAAGCTTGAATATGTTTGGGTGTTTAGGGTTACGTGCATGGTTTGCTGCTCTGGTGGCATGCTGCGCTCCCAAGACAACCGTCCACCCCAAAACTCTGGCGGCGGTCTTGGGCCGGGAAGGCGGGGTGAGCAGCTAAGGCACACGTCTCGCATCAATCACAGGAATTCGGTGCTAAGCGCAGGGCAGACTTTCGAGAAGTATTCCGCACAAACTGCCCCCTACACCCCAAACTCTACACCCCAAACCCGAAGCCCCAAACCCTAAACCCCAAACCCTAAACCCTAAATCCTAAACCCTAAACCCTAAACCCTAAACCCTAAACCCTAAATCCTAGACTTGTTTACCCCTTTTCCCAAGGACCTCGATCGTTGGGCGTCCCCAGTCTGAGCGTATGAACCGGGGCCTAGTGTGCAGTCGCCTGAAGCCGGGGTTCGGGTTTAGGCAAACGGTTTAGGGTTTAGGGTTTAGGGTTTAGGGCTTAGGGTGCCCCTGATATTCTGCGCTGGGGTCCAGCGGTTAGGGTTTGGGGTTTAGGTGGGGTTCCAGCTACAGTTGTGGATCGGGTTTCAGAGTGTACGGCTTGATACTGTTTCATTGCTGCTCTGCAACTTAAAAATATCTTATGTCAGCCCTTCCAAATTCCAACCTAAAGCCCACTTGCTTGGACGTCGGTATCTATAGACTCTAAAGAATTTCGGATGCGCAGGTCATTGTGGGGACGGTGCTGATGTACTGCTATTGACCCATACCAAGCGTGCTTATGGGTTTGAGCGATTGGGTTTCAGGGTCTCGCCGGCAACACCCATATCAACTCATGCAAGGTTTTTAGGGTTAAGGGTGGGCTGCTCGAGTCCCTCGTGGTCTTCTTGAGCGCATCTGAGAAGCCGAAGCAAAATGAACGCCTGGCTCAAAGTATGGCGGCTGACACAGGGCGCAACAAGAATTGCATGCATTTGGCAAGTGACAGGAGCGCGACGGCCGTTTGGGTGGCTTCCTGCTCCCGAGCCTCTCGCGCTAGCGAAGTCCAACTCCTGCACCACCCCCTAGGACCTAGGACCCAGAGTGGGCCCTTATTCCCTTTTTTTTGGGGGTTTAGGTTCCCTTGTGTAGACTTCTTGGGTCTAGTTCCCACTCTGGCGTTTGGGATCCTTTTGGAAGCTCTGTCCAGTGATGTTTCAACCCACGAGCAGCCTACCCATCCGGCTGACACACCAAAAGCTTGCAGGGCTTCGCACATCAGAAGCAGCTAGAGCCCTTCCCGGGCCGTTTGGGGGCTCTGCAAGCTTTTGGCACCAGCTCCGCATGCTGCACTGAACGCTCACAGAAGCAAGGCAAAAGGATGCTCAGGGGTGTTCAGGCTCCTAGGGATCAAACTCAAGCTTAGGACTTATGGGGCCTCGTCACGGTTCAGGCTGCTTAGGGTTGAGGGGCTTCAGAATAGGCTGTAGGCGTTTCGGGGGGGGGGGGGGGGGGTCTTCGATGGGTTTTTTCAAAATTTTCGTTGTGCCCCCAAATCCTGACAACCCTATACCGCCTATCCCTAAGCCCCGGGACCCACAAGCCCGTGAGTCTTCTCGGCCCGTAGGCAAGCGGTTCACCGGGCTTTGGGCTGTTAACTTGGGTGCGATTGCCTCACCGAACACACCGGTTTTCGGGGCTTGGGGTCTAGGGTTTAGGGTTCAGGCTATGGCTGGCTTTGTTTTTTCTTGTTGTCATGGGAAGCCCTAAACCCGATACACCCTAAAGCCTGAACCCCCTCAAGCCCTCGAACCCTGAACACCCCCAAGTCCTCAAACCTTCCCTAAACCCTAAACCCTAAACCCTAAACCCTAAACCCAAAAAAACCGAGCCCGAAGAAAGGCCCTTGGCCTCACCGTGCGCCCCTGCAGGGACCATCCGCCGAAAAACCTGACGCAGCCGAAGGCCGGCCCCGCAGCCGAGTCAACATTTCAATGACTTACTTAGGGTTTAGGGTTTAGGGTTAAGGGTTTAGGGTTTAGGGTTTAGGGTTTAGGGTTTAGGGTTTTGGTGTGTTTGTTATTATCGGTATGATTCTGCAACTGTGTTTTTTTCATTCTTACTGTTCTCCTTCTGGTTTTATGCTGGCCACTTTGATGTGATGATTATGATCGTTGTCCCATCTTATTCTTACGCACTCTTGTGTTTCTTCTTGTCGTTCTTCTCATCGCTGCAAAAGTGGGTGGACCATGCAATCCGATAGAAATATCATAAAATAGCGTTTTTTTTTTTTCAAGGGGTTATCTGGTATTCCGATGGCCTTCCTCACGTATGGGTCAGGGTTTAAGGTTTAGCGTTTAGGGTTTAGGGTTTAGGGTTTAGGGTTTAGGGTTTAGGGTTCAGGTGTTGAGGGTTGAGGGGATATGAGGAGCTAGGCTTGGTGGTGGTGGACATGAGGGTGGACGAGCTCCACTTCCTTTCTAAACCCTATAAACCCTTACAAGGTCCCTTGTAACAAGGAACTCCTAAATCCTGACGCTAGAAGCCGCAAATCCCTACGAAACCCAAGACGCGTAGAGGAGTCCAAAGACACCATCCCAGCGGGCGGCGGGACGCGCGGCGGCAAAGAGACAAGACCCCTAAGCAAGAGACAGACTTGGGTCGATTGAGGGCGGTCGGTGCGAGGGTGGGGAGCACTTCCTCCAGCCTTTAGGGGCATGGGGTTTGGAGTTTCAAGCCGATGGTTTAAGGAGCACGTAGTCTGAAAATATGGGTGAAGAGGCCGTAACCCAAGGACCCTAAACCCCAAACCCCTATAAGGGACTACTCCTTAGAAAAGGGACGCACACCCATGGCTCCCAACGACCCAAGAATTTGGATGGCGGGCCAAACGCATGGTTCAAGGTTTTCTTTTTGGGGCGGTTGTGGATTATAGGGCTCAGGGTTTTGTTGTTGATCGTGCGGCGTTCTAGGAATTTGTGATTGTGGCTGAGGCTTTTAGTTTTTTTGCGGCCAGCGGCAAAGGGGCTTGCGCTGTGTGGCGTAGGGGTTTTGGGTTTTGAGAATTTCTGCTGATTTAGGGTTTTGGGATTTGGCGGTTTATGGTGTAAGGGTTGAAGGGTTTGGGGTCTATGATTTTAGGGTTTTAAGGGGCCTCGGGTTGGGGGTTTATGGTTGGTAAAGGGTTGAGGGTTAGGGCCTGATGGGCTTAGGGATTCAGGGGGTTTAGGATGCCTTTGGGGCTTAAGAATGGGGTGGAAATTTGTAGTGGTTATCTATAGGTTCTTTTTCCCTTTAAACCCCTCAAGCCCTTTAAACCCTGCAAACCCCAAAATCCCAAACAAAACCCATACCCTAGAAGCCATAGACCCTTAAACCCCTAAAATCCTCTCAACCTTGCCTAAACTTCGTAGTGCAAAGGTACCCTTTTCCCTTTTTTTGGTTCAAGCTTCCCTTGTAAAGTAACCCTAAACCCTAAACCCTAAACCCTAAACCCTAAACCCTAAACCCTAAACCTTTCGGCTACCCAAGTAAACTCCAGAACCCTGGAGCCTGAGCTGCCCGAGGTCCGAGGGCCCTGGTGCGCTTCCGGACGACACCAACAAGGCCACTTGCTCTGCCAGGGTTTGCGCTTCCTGGGCCTTAGGGGGTTTAGGGTTTATAGGGTTTAGGGGTGAGGGGTTTGGGTTTAGGGTGTAGGGTTTGGGGTTTAGGGTTTAGGGTTTTGGGTTTAGGGCTAGGCGGTTCAGGGTCTTAGTTTTGTTGAGCTTTGTGGCTTTTTTGATGTTTTTGTGTTGCAGGGGCCCAACGGAACGTTCGGGCTTAGACCTGTTTCCAGCAGGTGCCGTCCTCTGGCGGCCCTTCTACGTGCCAGACTCAGGTATCGCTGGGGATGTGCGCCCCCTTATACTAACAGTCCTTCATAGGGATTATTACAGGGCGGTACTACAATTCCTATTTAGGACTGTTAGCAGAAGGGGGAGCAACCCAAGGTATCGCTTTCAGTTTTTAGCGTTCAGGGTGTTTAGGGAGGATGCAGGCTGCCGTTCGTGGCATGGGGGGAGCCCGGATGCAGCCTCAATTCTTGCACACTTTTTCGTGGCAGCAGTTTGAGTCTGGTGGCTAACCGGGTTCATTGCGCTAGCAAGAATAGAAATGGCCCCAAGGTACCATGCCCCAGCTTGGAACAGTAAAGCCTCTCTCGCCTCCACATGCTCACGCACAGGGCAAGCCCTGAGCTATGCTTCCGGATTTTGGCTTGCGCTTTTGGTCTTTGTGGTTTGGAACCTGCCTTGTCTCGAAGCCCCTTAGACCGTGAAAGCCCTGCAACATAAGCCCTTCAGCTCTCATAAGCGTGAGCCCTATTGGAAACCCGTCAAGCCGAAACAATGACAGCTCCTACTGGGCCGCCAGGAGCAGCTGTCGGCATGAGAATCCTCTCCTTTTTGGGCGCATTGAAGTTTAGGGGCGGGGGACAGAGAAACCCTCAACCCAAACCAACCCAAACCCCAAGTCCTAAACCCTAAGCCCTAAAACCTAAACCCACCAACGAACCACAGCGAAGAGAAGGGTAAACCCGAAACTTTAACCGCTTTAACCCTGAACCCTGAACCGTTTACCCAGCACGAACCACAGGGGGGCGAGGGTTTCCCGCAAACCTACCAGTACCCCAAACCTGGAACCCTAATTAAACTCTACACCGACAGTGAACCAATGGACCAGAGTAAAAATCCTGAACTCTACAGGGGGTGGGGTGCGGCTATGCTGGCTCATATAGTGGGCATTTTGGGGTTTACGGTTTGGGGCTTGGGGTGTACGAATTTACGAACTGCAGTGGAGGAATCTGGGCAGCCGTCTCTGCAGTGTAGGATTGAGGCCTGCGGGTTTACATAGTAGGTCCCAGCCCATCCCCTGCCTGGAACCCCCCCAAGCCCCCAAATCCAAAGCCTAAGGCCAGTGCCACTGGGCGGATGGCGGGTGCAGCAGCAGGGTCGATGGACGCGGCCTTAGCTGATCTGTGACTGGCTGTCTTGTCAGATATGGGCCCATGAAGAGCAGTATAAGGCAGAGGGCATACAGGTTCAGGGGTTGGCGCCCGCCAGCTTTGGGATTCGGTATACAGGGTTGAGGGTGAGGCCTTGGGATTTTGGACATGGAGAACTATGGAGGGGCTGAGCTGGGCAAGTCCTTCTAGGGTGCCCAAAGCCTACGTAGGATCTTCAGTGGATCTCTGATTCCCTATAGACCCTACCCCTTTTTTTTGGGCGGGGGGGGGGGGGGGGGGGGCTAGGTAGCCTTCGAGGGGAAGTGCCGAGGCTTCTTGTGCAAGTGCCGTGGCATCCCCTGTGCTGTGGAAGATGTTGGGGAAACACTGCACCGGAAGTCCTAAACACTACAAGCCCTAGACCCCGCCGGCTGAATGTAGCCACGCCGCCCTTACTAGTCCTAAACCCCTAAACCCTCAGCCCCTTACACCGCTTTTTCACGAAAAAACATCTAAAACCCTGTAGCCCCGGACCCCCCAACCCTAAACCCAAAACCCTAAACCCTAAACTGCTGGCTAGCAGGTTCCGGGTCTCGGCTACAGCACTCAGCATCCGGCGTCGGCCACAGGTGAGCCGATGGGCTTCCGGGTTGAAGGCTTTTCGAGGTTTGGGGGTGGTTTAGGGTTTTAGGGTTTAGGGTTCAGGGAGCATGAAGTGTCTTAGGTTTGGGGGTTGTAGGATTGTGGAAGCGTTTCAATATAGGTTTCGGTGGTCATGCTTGCAAGAGTCCTCCCTCCCCTCCTTTACATGTTCAGGGCCCCTAAACCCTAAACCCTACACCCTAAACCCTTTTTTACTAAGAACGCCGAATCTTGGCGCTTCCACGCGGAGGTAGTGTCTAAGCTTGCTCCTCTCGCCCTCAAGCCCGTTGATGCGAAGCCGCGCCCGAAGACCTGACACTTCGGACTCTAAACCCCCACAAACCCCAAAACCCTAAACCCTAAACCCTAAACCCTAAACCCTAGACGACACTCCCGAGAAGCCCTAAACCCTGAACCCTGAACCCTAAACCCTGACAACCAACAACGTGGGGCGTGAAGCCACGCGCAGGTGGACGCGCCCCTTGCCGGGGAGCTGCCTTTTGGCGAGGTTTTCCAGGCTGCAGAGTCATCGGCTAGGTACCTAGGGTTTATGGTTTAGGGTTTAGGGTGTAGGGTTTAGGGTTTAGGCTTTAGGGCCAGGGTTAAGGTTTTAGGGCTTCCAGGGTTCGTCAGAATCCTAGGCAGGCCATCGGAACATTTCGTTCCTACTGGGTTGCAGAGGATCATGCGCGGGAAGATCTTCGGAGGGTTGAGCCAACCTTAGCCGTCTCATGTACTTTCATGACGGTTTGATCCTTTTCCATTGGCACCTAGCTAAACCCTAAACCCTAAACCCCAAACCCCAAACCCCAAACCCTAAACCCTAAACCAGATACCTAGGCCCTAATTAAGCCCTAAACCTCATGAGGGTTCCTGAAAGCTGCTTTGGTACCAGGGCCAAACGTGCTGGTCTTCTGCGCAAGGTGGCGCAGCTTGGGCTGCGAACGCTCCACCAGAACGAGGGGTTCAGGGTGTAGGGTTTAGGGTTTAGGGTTTAGGGTTAGGGTTTAGGGTTTAGGGTTTAGGGTTTAGGGTTTAGGGTGCCTAGTCACCTCGCCATTGCCGAAGAGTTGAGAGATCGAAACGCACGTGGAGCCTGATTTTGCCAGAGTTGGAGCCAGGGTCGAAACTGATGGTGTCTGGTTCCCGATGTGTTGAGTCAGGTGAAGGTGTAGGGTTTAGGGTTTAGGGTTTAGGGTTTAGGGTTTCGGGTTTAGGGTTTAGGGTTTAGGGTTTAGGGTTTAGGGTTTAGGGTTTAGGGTGCAGGCTCCAGTTCAGGATCAAGCAAGCCCCATCAAACACTCCCTGAACCCTCGGCTGTTCCCTCTCCTACCCAGTCTTTTCATGAGCATTGCATGAAGGGGTTAGGGTTTAGGGTGTAGGGTCGTCTAGGGTCTATTGCAAGAGTCCGAAGCATGCACTGTTGCTCTCTCTCTCTCTCTCTGTTTTTTTTTTTTTTTTTTTTTGGGGGGGGGGGGGGGGGGGGGGGCGGTACTCCAAGGCTGTGGAATTCGGGTGGCTGCAAGCAAACTCGACATGGACAGTTCTCCTAGTCAGGGTTCGCTTTTGGGCGTACCCTAAACATGAAGAGCCGTGCGAAAGCAGGGAACCTTAAAAAGGATCACATTTTTCAGAATTGGCGCCTGCAGCCTGAGACCTACAGAGACCCCCAAAAGTTGGAACATCCTTATCCGAATACCCCAAAAGGTATACGAAAGGAATCCCAGCTCCCATCATCCTTAAACCATGTTCCGACTTTCCGGAGTTTACTGTAGACCCGAAAGGCAAAGCAGAAACCAAATTGAGAGACTGTCCCTTTTGACCCTAAACCCGAAAACCTAGAGCCCAAAGCCCTAAACCCTAACCTTTAAACCCTAAACCCTAACCCTAAACCCTAAACCCAACAAGGGACACTGCTCTGGAAATACAGAGCTTTTGGTTGCAGCTAGAAATCCTCAAAGCCACGTAGGGTTTTTAGGCTTTAGGGTATAGATGGCCCGTGGGATATTCTACATCTTTCCCTCCCCTAAACCGAGGGGTCTGAGGGCCCTCCTTAAGATTCCTGAAGCGGCCACTTGATTCGGGGATTAGAGTTTAGGGCTTAGGGTTTAAAGTTGGGGGGTTGGGGGGGGTTTGAGGGATTAGACTTTAGGGCTGAGGGTTTAGGGTTCACGCCCTAAACCCTCAACCCTATAGGCTATAGGGGTTGAGGGGTTTTGGGGGGTTCGGGCCGTGCCGCCAGGCGGTTTCTTCCTTCACCGCCGAGGACGGTTTCACTTTCCTGGAGCTATCTCGAGGCAGCGGCCTCATCCATGGAGTTGCAGGGAGGTTTTGGGTTTAGGGTTTTGGTTTTAGGGTTTAGGGTTTAGGGTTTAGGGTTTAGGGTTTAGGGTTTAGGACTCCCCATGGGCTCCCAAGAAAACCCTGCGCCCTGGCTCTTCTGTTTTCATTGCGGCCCGCCACGCTAGCCGTACTGCCTGTGGACATCGCACCAGGCACAAGTCCGGCTGAACCTGGAACCCTGAAGCTCCGAACCGATACTGCGCACCCGGACAGATAACAGGCCCATGGGACCCTAAACCCTAATCCCCAAGTAGGAGGGCCTTACAAGGACTTGTGAGCGTAGAAGGATTCCCTAAGCAGCCTCGTCTGCTGGAAACCCCAAGCCCATAGCAACCCTACCTGAAGTGAAGACCAAGGGACTCTACTTTGGACCCCTGAGGTGATGCCTTTGGGTTTGGGCCCAAACCCTCTTTTAAGACCCCCAAAAGAACATAAGGGCCATTCTAGGAGTATATTCAAAGGTACAACCTTAGGGGTACGAGTCTTAACGTCTTGAGAAGACTGGCAGCGACCAGAACCTAGGAGGGCAAAACCCTGAATGTCGCCCAATGGATTTCGGGGGTGTGTGTAAGGGGTGTGTGTAAAGCCTGACCCCTAAGCCCTAAGCCCTAGATCTCCTAACACCCCCGAAATCTCCTCAGCCCTTATCTTCGAACCCCGAAGCCCTCTGAACTCTCTAACTCCGACTCCCTAGACCCTGAACCCCCCTAAGCCTGAACGCCGATGTCGAACTCAACTCCTTAGGATGCCCGGTAGTATGTTTTCCACCCCATCAACAAGGGCTTAGAGTTTGGGGTTCAGAATTTCTGGTTCGTAAGTTGCAATGGCAATTATTATGGCTTACTTTAGGGTTTAGGGGTCGGTTTTGTGTCATCGCCACATCATGTCTCGGATCACGTTGTAAGGACATATGCTCTGAGCCCAGCCAACACTATACCCCTACCGCTCCCCATGCCCTACACCAACCCTAAACCCTAAACCCCAAACCCTAAACCCTAAACCCCAAACCCTAAACCCTAAACCCCAAACCCTAAACCCTAAACCCTAAACCCTACACCCCTACAGTAAGATGAGGTCGAGGATGGGTCTTCAGCGATGCACGGGCCGGAAGCCCCAGCCTGGTTCCGTTTTTCTTTTGGTTCAGGTCTCTAAGAGGGGTTTAGGGTTTAGGGTTTAGGGTTTAGGGTTTAGGGTTTAGGGTTTAGGGTTTAGGGTTGAGGGCGCATTTCTATCCAGAACTCCGACCTCAAAGAGTGCAGGAACCGCATTTTTCATGGGTGGGCGTCCCAAGAAGTGGGCCTAGAAGACCCTGCACCCTGGAGTCCGGGTTTCAGGATCGAATGTTTAGTGATCAGGGCTATGAGGTTTAGGTTCTTTGGATGAAAGTCTAGGGTTCAGCGTTTATAAGGCTTGGGATACTACATGGGTTTGGGGGTTGAACGATTTGGGGTGAGGGCGTGTTGCGCTTTGGTGTGCGTCGGGGCATTGAAAGTAGAGGGATGAGTGTTTCTTTTCACAAGGTAGTTCTGCGAACCCACCATTATCGAAATCCCCTTGAAAGGCCTAACCCTGAACCCCAAACCCTAGACCCTAAACCCGAAACCCTAAACCCCAAGCCATAAACCCAAAACCTAAACCCTACACCCTAAACCCTAAACCCTACACCCTACACCCTAAACCCTAAACCCTAAACCCGAAACCCACCCAAAGCTCGACGCACTTTGCCACCAGGTGCAGCCGGTGCTGGTCATCGATGACACCGGTGACCAGCCTGTCGTGCCGTCCTTGGGGCTCTTGGGTGGCTTCGGGGTTCAGGGGGTTTAGGGTTTAGGGTTTAGGGTTTAGGGTTTAGGGTTTAGGGTTTAGGGTTTAGGGTTTAGGGTTTAGGGTTTAGGGTTTAGGATTACCCTACCGTGTGTTTTTAGATAGGTGTCCTACTTGTAGGCCAGGGTCGATTCTTGAACTAAGGGGTATTGGAGTCCTTGGGACCTTTGCTGATTTGCCGGTTTCGGAGCCTGACGCAGCTTGGCGCCAAGTCCCTAGCCCTAAACCCCCAATAACTGTCCTAGCAGCATGCCCTTCGAGTGTCGCTCGCAGAGCGGTGCCTCTAAACCCTAAGCCCTTAACCTTAGACCCTATACCCTTAAACCGCCCGAAGCCCTTGAGTGCTTCAACGCTTAAACCCAAAGCCCTTAACCCTAGCCCAAACCCAAATCCGAACCCGAAGGTGGAACCTTTATTGCCCACACCAAACCATAATCGTTCCCAGCCTCCCGACAGCCCATCCCCCTCCTAAAAGGATTGAGGGTTTGGCTTTGCAGGGCTTAGAAAGCCCCAACAGTAAGTAGCCCTCCCCCCTCCAAAAGCACCAAGAAAACAACAACTCAGCATCTTAAAACCCTAGACCCTAGACCCTAAACCCTAAACCCGAAACCCTGAACCCTAAACCCTAAACCCTAAACCCTAAACCCTAAACCCTAAACCCTAAACCCTAAACCCTAAACCCTAAACCCTAAACCCTAAAACCCTAAACCCTAAACCCTAAACCCTAAACCCTAAACCGTGCCGAGGCCAGTCCGGGCGAAAGGAGCCCCGGGGCTTCGGGGTTGCAGAGCATGCGTCCCAAATCACTTCCTAAACTTCCTATAGTTCCTGAGCTTCCTAAAGTTCCGGAGCTTCCTAAACCCTAAACCCTAAACCCTAAACTTCCTAAACTTCCTAAACTTCCTAAACCCTAACCCTGCTACGACCTAGCACGGTTGGTCCCAAGTTCGTCTTTTAAGTCATGAAGCAAACTACGTTTAAATGGTCTATATATATATATATATCTATCTATCTACACATGTATATGAATATAGAGACCCCTTTCTTTGGGGCCGGGTTCCTTTAGCAACCCCACAAGCACCCTAAGCCCTCAACTCTTGCCGTAGTGAGCACAGGGTTTGTGTCTACTGAACAGGGTTGGGCTACGTACTCAGCGATTTCGTGAATCCTAGGACCTAAGTTTCAATCTGGCACCCTCAAAAGCCCAAATCCTGGACGCTAAGCTCTGAAACCTGAACCTCCCCCAGAACCCAAAGCCCTAAAACCCTAAACCCACAGCCTGAACCCTGAAGGTGCAGGGGTTTTAGGGTTTTTGGGAACCCTAAAACCCCAGGATACAAACCCAGCAAAAACAAATCCCAAGCCCAATGTCGCCGGCAGCTTCTCGAGAGGGCAATATGATGGCCAGAAGTGCGACGTGCGGTTTCATAGGGCTTCGGAGGGAATGCTGAACTTCTGGGGTTCAAGTTTTTTAGGGTTTAGGGTTTAGGGTTTAGGGTTTAGGGTTTAGGGTTTAGGGTTTAGGGTTTAGGTTTAGGGTTTAGGGTTTAGGGGGTCTGAAAGTTGGGGGTCACAATGCTTGTGTGTGTTTTTTGTTGGGTTTTGGGCTCTGCGTTTATTTCTTCAGCTGCGGACCGAATACCCCCTCAGAGGCCAAACAATCCATGCGGCTTGCTTTGCGGGTTTAGGGTTTATAGGGTTTAGGGTTTAGGGTTTAGGGTTTAGGGTTTAGGGTTTAGGGTTTAGGGCTAGGGCCTCGGGCCTCGGGTCGAGGCGTTGAAGTGCTTCTGCCATGGCAACCCAGCGCAGCGAAGACGGATGGTTCTGGGACTGGGATGCCAAGCTGGCGGGCACCTCCTCGGGACACTAGGTAGGCCCTTTTGGGACATGTTATATTCTCCTTTATTGGCGGTTTAGGAGTTAGGGTTTAGGGTTTAGGGTTTAGGGTTTAGGGTTCAGAGGGTCTTAAGGGCCATCCTAGGACACCAGCAGTTCCGAGATCTGGTCAGGGGCTTTGCCGCTCGGAACAGGAATCCTGAGCTTTTTGTTGTTTACTCAACAAGTTCCTTATTATTATTATTATTATTATTATTATTATTATTATTATTATTATTATTAATATATACATACATATATGACTATTTGTATATTTACATATGTACATAAATGTGTCTTTTATCGGGGGTTAAGGGGCCCGTCCAGGTCGAAGCGGAGCTGGCGCCGCACATTGCGGAGTGGGAGGAGGTTGCGGGTCTAGGGTTCAGGGTTTAGGGTTTAGGGGTAAGGGGTAAGGGTTTAGGGTTTAGGGTCTAGGGTTTAGGGTTTAGGGTTTAGGGTTTAGGGTTTAGGGCAGCCCGGAACGCTGAAGTCTCAGCCCGGGCTCCGAACGTCGCAAATGCTACGCATAACAACGGTGCTGCTGGGCCCAACTTTACCAGCAGACCCTAAACCCCAAACCCTAAACCCCAAACCCTAAACCCCAAAACCCCAAACCCCAAAACCCCAAACCCCAAAACCCTAAACCCCAAAACCCTAAACCCTATCAGGGCCCTTGGGTGGACTTTTGGCTAAGGGCGTAGAGCTCTGACACCCCTGTATTTGCCCTCAGCCCTAAACCCTAAACCCTCACCCTAAACCCTAAACCCCAAACCCTAAACCCTAAACCCTAGCCCTAGACCCGAAACTCAGAAAGGCCCCCCAGGATGGCGCTCCCAGCCCTGACCCCGATGTGTTGTTTTTTCGTTTCGGGCTAAGGAGTGAAGGGTTCAGGGTTTTGGGCTTTGAGGTGAAGATTTTTGAGGGGGTTTAGGGTTTAGGGTTTAGGGTTGGGGTTTGGGGTTAGGGGTTCGGGGTTTAGGGGGTGTGCAGATGTGTGCCTGAATCACCCTGGCCTAGCGTCCCACTCCATTTTGGAAGCTCCTTTTCTTCCGTTGCTTTCTTGGCAAGAGGCCGGCGCGTTTCCCGCGGACCTCCACAGACGGGCCTATGATGCCGGTATGTATGCGCCAGGTCTTCCTGCCGACCTCGGACGCCTGGCTGAAGGAGCGTTCCCTACACCCTACACCCTAAGCCCTAAACTCTGAATTAAGAGTTGGAGGAGAGATTGGTCTGCCTTGAGGGTGTCTCTGCGGCGTTGATGCAGGGAGCCGTTCACTTGGGGTCTAGAGTGAATAGGCGGTGAACCCTAAAACCTTGGGATGCTGCCCTTGTACCAACAGTCCTTAATCGGGATTATAATGGTACCCCCTAATTGTTTTTTTGATTATAATTCCGATTATAAGAACTGTTAGCATAAGGGGGAATATACCAACCTAAACCCTAAAGGACCGTAAGACTTTGGTGGGGGGTGGGGGGGGGGAAGGGCTGGAGTGCAGCGCTGGGTCTCTTCAATCACATCCTCTCAGAATTTCTTTGCCTCACTCACCCCCAAGTTGCCCCCCCCCCCCCCCCCCAAAAAAAAAAAAAAAAGAAGATAGAACGAACAATATCGAAAGAATCCCTGAGATCCGTGTGTGTTGGGTTCTAGGCCATGGTGATTAATGGTGATGTTTACTCATTTCTAGTTCGTGCTGAAGTAACTAAGCATCCTAAACCCTCACCCCCTAAACGGAAATATGGATACTTCGGGGTCACCAGGACGGGCTATTAAATTATACCCTATAACCTCCTAAACAGGCCCTTTACAGGGGTCGGATTATGGGGATCATAGGGCCTACTAGCCCATCCTGGTACCAAGGGACTAAGTGTAAGGTGGCACGGCGCCGAGCGTGATGGACATTTGGCACCGGTTCATTCTGAACGACTCTCGGCTCGGCTTCCCTAAACCCTAAACCCTAAACCTTAAACCCTAAACGCTGCTGCACAAGTTTTGAGCCATGGAGAAACGATGAACCAAGAATAGTGAGCTGAGGTCACACGATCATGGGGGGGGGTTACGAACATAAGGGAACCCCAAGATAAACTCCCCCCAAATATACTAGGATTCCTTTACAATAAGGACCCCAAGAAGGTACCCTCATTTTTCTGAAACCCCCCGAAATCCTAAACCAAGAACCCTGGTTCTCTTGTGACAACAACTTGCAAACGCCGCTCTCCCAGGATGAGCTGGGTTGCCTATGTGCCGGAGGCCTGGTTGCTTCCTTGCTGACGCATGGCATCGCCCTGCGCCTCAGCAAAAATCTAAACCCTAAACCCTAAACCCTAAACCGTTATTAAGGCTGTGGCTTCAGGGTTGAGGGGTGGACTTGTAATTTGAAAGGTGAGTTTGTATAGATGTGCCTATGTCCTGCTGTTGAACTAATCTCAATCGGGAACGCCTGGCGGCGAATCAGCGGCCGCTCCCGCAGATGCTTTGAGTCGACGCGGGGCGTGAGTGTCGACATTTTTCAACTCCCTATACAGAAGAACTCGGGTACGGGAGGTGAGTTTATACTTTGCAGGGTTTGGTGGGAACCCGGGCTGGGGCCGCTGATGCTCATGATGTGCGCCCAGGGCTCGGGACTCGCGCCGCTGATGCTCATGATGCGCGCGCCCTCGGTGGCGAAGGGTGCTCATGAGCTTTCTCGGGGCCCAGATCACCACCCTCGCGTGCCCAGATGCTCATGATGGTGATTGTAATCACGAAAAAGGCACCTAGCCGGCTCAATAGGTGCACAAAGCGCGGTATTCACAGCGGTTTCACGTGCTTTCGCAGCCACCAGGCGACCCAAACCCAAGGAAGCCGAGAAACGCCTGGCCGTTCCGCCACCCTGGGAGGGCGGAAGGCGCGGCAAATCGAGACAACGAGGCCCTGATGATGCTCGCAAGGGGGTGTCCTTGAGGTCTTGACCATGGCCCCGCGTGAGGGAGCGGCCGAATTTTCAGAGCCTCCCAAGAAACCCCTCTGCATCTCTAAGGCCCCCCCCAACGCCCCCTTTCTGGGGACCCAGGGTCGAACCCCTAACCCCTCGAAATACCCCCTACTCCCAACTAAATCTTCAGGGCTGGGTTGATTTACACAAGCCCCATCAAACAGAAGTGCCCGGCCAACCGAGTCGACAGTTGAGCAGGTTTCTGAGACTAAGACCCTCAAATCCGAGCTTCAACTCCTTGGCCTCAAACCCTGACCAAGACCGTACGCCCTAAGACACCAAAGCCCTAAACCTCCAGGCAAGCCAAACCCTAAACCCTGAACCTCGGAGGAGGGGGGGAAGAGAGATCCGCCGAACCTGCTGAGGCCGCCACTCCTGGCGCTGGGCACAGAGGAGCAGAAGCAGACTTATGCAAAGGAGGGGCGGCAGAGTTTTGGGTTTAGGGTTTTTTGGGTCCTAAACCCTACACCCTGGGCCTTAAGCTTTCGGAGTTCAGGGTTTGCAGGGCTTTGGTTTTAAGGGGCCTGGCAGGGGTTGTCCTATTCTTTTCCTTCCTGGCATTTTGGATTCAGGGTTTGGGGTTTACAGGGTTTAGGGTTAAGGTTTAGGGTTTCGGGTTCAGGGTTTAGGGTTTAGGGTTTAGGCCCCGCCCCAGGACATCATCGCGGGGAGGAAGCGCTGCTCCCTGGCCATCACGGAACCCAACGCCGGCTCCGATGTCGCCGCCCTGCAGACGACCGCTGTCCGGGATGGTGACGTCTTCGCGCCTGGACCGCGTGCCGGTCAATCCCTAGAAGTGACCGAAATCTGGTGTCCTTATAATGCCCTTCAATCCCTATGAGTGACCTAAGTATGGTGTTCTTCAGGGTTCCAGTAGGTTTTTGGAAGTCTAGGGCTATAGCCCAGAAATCCT